AAGGGCACGTAGGGCACGTAAAGGGCAGGTGCTCAAGCCCCCTTTGATGTCTATGTGTGCATGTGCCTGCTGTATCGTGATTTGATTCAGATCGGGACTTCAGAGCAGATTCGGGAATCTTTTGATTCAGATCGGGACTTCAGAGCAGATTCGGGAATCTTTTGATTCAGATCGGGACTTCAGAGCAGATTCGGGAATCTTTTGATTCAGATCGGGACTTCAGAGCAGATTCGGGAATCTTTTGATTCAGATCGGGACTTCAGAGCAGATTCGGGAATCTTTTGATTCAGATCGGGACTTCAGAGCAGATTCGGGAATCTTTTGATTCAGATCAGGACTTCGGAGCAGATTTGGTAATCTTTTGATTCAGTTCAGGACTTCAGAGCGGATTCGGGAATCTTTTGATTCAGATTGGGACTTCAGAGCAGATTCGGCAATCTTTTGATTCAGTTCAGGACTTCAGAGTAGATTCGGGAATCTTTTGATTCAGATCGGGACTTCAGAGCAGATTCGGGAATCTTTTGATTCAGTTCAGGACTTCAAAACAGATTCGGGAATCTTTTGATTCAGATCGGGACTTTGGAACGGGTTCACGAATCATTTGTACTTCGGAGCGCATATTGCGAATCATTCAGATCTCAGTTTTAATGGTTCACCGTCGGCGAGCGATGATCTCTGTAAACACATGAATCATCCAGGTTCGCTGACCTCAGCAGTGAAAGAGATTAAGAAGTGTCTATAGTTTCAACCTGATTTCAGATCAGTTTTATACATTTTAAGACATTTTAATGAGACATTTATAATTAAAATGAATAATAGTAGTTACAGTTGTTTTCATCTGCTTACACACAAACTCTTTACGTGTCACACAGTTTCTGAAAGCTGACACTCAAACAGCAGAAGCACACACCAAATCTGCAAAACCATTCACTAATTCTCAGCCTTTGACTCAGTTTTCAATTTCATAAAACACTTTTTGCAAAACACAACACACAGTTCTCTATGTAACACACACAAATCTAACAGGAATTATCTTTTTCAAACACAACCAATCAGAAAGCCTCACTAATAACTCCTCACATGTGCTTCACTGAACACAACACACATCTACACATGTGTTTCTTTTCTTTCGTTCTGTGTAATACTGTATTCACAACCACAAATGCTTAAAAGTTTGCTTTCAATCTTGTACAGAAATGTAGCTCATGAACGAAAAGCTTCAGGTTTTGAATAACTGTGTGCATATGATATATCCAGAAATATAACATTATGGCAAAGGTGTCTGCAACGTAAGACAAATGTTTGCTTTTGAGATGTGTTTGTGATATTTTGAATGCAGTGCTTCGTTTTGCAAGAGATGTGAGGCTTTTTGCATTTTGCGTGTGCAGTTCTTGTATTTGTGTGTAAAGTTTTGATAAAAAGAGGCAAAGTTTTGAAAATGTGTGAAAACAGTTGAAAAAAACTGTAAAGGTTGTAAAGAGTTTTAGTTGCATTTACACCTTTCTGACCAGCAGGAGTCACCAGAGTAAGCAGTTTTAATCATTTTGTGAAGCAATTTGGTTTTGATTCAACGCTTTTAAATAATGATGGTTTCTCGGGTTTTTCAGTAAAGTGTGATTGTTTCTCCCATTGCTAGTGTTTATGAACTGGATTTATTTCACTATGATCCACATGATGGCGTCAAAACACTCGATGACATAGGAACACTTTAAAATGCACAATAACATTCTGTAGTTCTAAAACAAATCTTTGTAAGCAAGTAAGTAAATTAATAAATATTTTCTCAGTTGATGGGCATTTGTTCACCGGCTCAGTTTCTTTTCACGTTAAGAATTCTAGAACATCTCTAAAAAAATCTCATTAATTTCCGAGAGTGCCACGTGAACAGACAAAAAAAAAAAAAAGTTTTTCATTAAATCAAAATATGACTGATATGACGCTTTTATCTTTTTTTCTATATGTTAAGATAGAGATAGAACTACTGGTAAATATGAAGTTAATAATAATGTTTGAGGAACGTTAACCCTTTGAGTAAAGCGGGTCAATCCAAACTGAAATGGGGGAGGTCCGCTGACAAAGATTAATAAACAAACAAAAATTATATTTGTTGTCTCTCATGTATTCGTTTGTTAAAGCTCTAATGGTTTATTAAAGTCTTCTTCATAGCTTAAAGTGCACGTTTACATGAGAGTTTGCGCAGAAATGCTGTAATTGCAGTCCGCGGACCCCCATCTCATCTCATGGTAGCGTCCATTAAAGTTGTGCTGGATGCATAAGAGCCTGCGCTCTCTCTCTCAGCGAGACTCGAACAGCACAGCAGCGCTGGAGATGGAGCAGACCGAGCTCATGAAGCCAGAGACTCTGGAGGATTTGATCAAAACTCTCCACAAGCTCTTTGAAAGCGACAGCGTCAATGTGGAGGAGGTGCAGAGCATCATGGAGTCCTATAAAAGTAAACCTCACGAGTGGATGAAATATGCTACATTTGACCAGTACAGGTAATTATTATTATTATGATCATCATCATTAACGATATTATTTATTACTGTTAGTTATTATTCTTAGGCTGTTATTTCGAGATGCTTACAATCACAACAAGGGTTTTGTTCGTTTGTGTTCGTTTGTTTTTAACATAAGGTTTCCGTCTCGCGCAAAGCATCAGATGTAAACACCAACAGAAAGCACTGCTGACGCGAACTGAACGTGAACTGGGTTTTAATGAGTTAACTTTTAATCCAAACATCGCTCAAATAATTTTCTTGTTTTAAGTCGGAGCATTACTGGGTCTCGTCTAATCATAGGCCTACTATTGCTCGGTTTGAATGAAATGTGTAGTTTTTTCCCTTATTTTTGAGATGCGCTGCGCTGCTGGAGCTCTGCCTCCGCTGATGGTTTGCCAGTGGGCGTGGCTTCGCTCCAGGGGGCGGGGAAGACGCGGGCCAATCAGAGCGCGGCTCCTGGCGCACACCCGCTGTTCGTGCGGCTTCATCAAACGCTCCAGAGATACATTTTATCCAGCTCTCTCCGGACTGTTCGATGCTGCCTCTGATGCAGGACATTCCCGTTCACTCACTTTACTGATATGAATATGAATATTACAGTTTTTTTCAAATGCTTACACACATTTTCAAAACTTTGCCTCATTTTTTTTTTTTACTTTATTAGTGAGTTATTAGTGTGGCTTTCTGATTGGTTGTGTTTGAAAAAGATACTTCCTGTTACATTTTGTGTGTGTTACATAGAGAACTGTGTGTTGTGTTTTGCAAAAAGTGTTTTATGAAATTGAAGTCTGAGACTTGAGTATATGGTTTTGCAGATTGAGTGTGTGCTTCTGCTGTTTGAGAGTCAGCTTTGCATTGAACTGACTGATTAAAGTCCCTTGTGTCTTTACAGATACACCAGGAATCTTGTGGATGAGGGAAATGGAAAGTTCAACCTGATGATCTTGTGCTGGGGTGAAGGACACGGCAGGTAGCCGCTCATTCACACTGATGTTAAATCACTGTTGTGTTCGGTCTGTGTTTACCTTTCGACCTGCAGAAGCCTGGGATCACGAGTGGATCAATGACTGAACATGCGTCAATGAATTAGAGATATTAACAGACAGATAATGGCCTGATAGTAGAGTCCAGTGTCTTGTGATTAGTCAGGTCATAAAGACAGCTAATAATAATCCTTAGGGGATCAATAGGGCCCTGCGCCTTTCTGGCTTGGGCCCTAATAATACACGCAAAGCCTTTAATAAATGCACAGTGGAGCAGATTAAATCGCAGATAAAATAACGCTGTCACCTCATAAAAGCATAAGCAATTATTCACTGTGGAATATGAACAAAAAAGGAAGACAATAGCACGTCAGGATGTCTGCATTGTTGCTAAAATTAGCTCATTTGCAACTAATTCAACTTTAAAACTCCAGTTCAGTTGCTTCCTTACATTTGAAGTATAATCAGATTGGCTGTATGATTCATTTCAAGTAATTTGTTAAAAAATCTTGTCTAGATGAATCTGGTATAAGGGTCAGAGATGAAAAGGGGTTTTCAAGCATCAAAACCCCAGAACATTAGAATTTGTCCCGCTTATTTATTTATTTGTTTTCTGAGCAAAAATAAAAAAAGGTAATTGCAATTTTTTATCTCACAATTCTGACTTTTTTTTCTTGTTATAGCGAGATATAAACTCACAAATGTGTGTTATAACATCAGAATCGAATGATATAAACACACAATTATAAGAAAATAGTCCCTTGTAGATTATGACTCAAATTTATATCTTACAATTCTGAGAAAAGAAGTCAGAATTATGAGATAAAAAGTCACAGTTACCTTGTTTTCTTCTGTACCAGAATTATTAACGATATTAAAAGACTCACGGATCATTTTAAATCTTTCCCAATCTTTGCCAGTTTCCTTTAAACCACTAGATCTTACCCATTTGTCAGTTTTTAATCACTTTAAATATATAATCAAATTTAGTATGATCACTTATTCTTTTATATATTTTAGAAAGTACAGGTCAGGATAAGTATGTTGTTTAATTCTTACATATTTGTTATGTTAATGAACATTATTTTACCCATATTTTATTTTCAAAAACGTGATTTAAAACATTAAAGTGGGCACGTTAATATGCTTTCTGTGTATGCAAAATCACTTTTGTAAAGGCAATGTGGACACTTGTTTTGTCTTTGACGCATTGTAACTTAAAGAATGAAGATGAAATGGGTTAAATTATTTGGTTACACTTTATTTTAAGGTGTCTTTGTTACAGTGTAAGTATATATTTAAGTACCGAGTAATATTAATTAACTACTTGTGCTTACTATATGGTTAGGGTTAGGATTAGGGTTACTTGCAAGTAATTATGCATTATGTATTGTTATTATAATAGTAAGTACATGTAACATATGTAACAAAGACACCTTAAATTAAAGTGTTACCAAAAAAAACTGTATAATAGTAAGTACATGTAACATATGTAACAAGGACACCTTAAAATAAAGTGTTATCAAAAAACGGTATAATAGTAAGTACATGTAACATATGTAGCAAGGACACCTTAAAATAAAGTGTTACCAAAAAACGGTATAATAGTAAGTACATGTAACATATGTAACAAGGACACCTTAAAATAAAGTGTTTCCAAAAAAAAACTGTATAATAGTAAGTACATGTAACATATGTAACAAGGACACCTTAAAATAAAGTGTTTCCAAAAAAAAACTGTATAATAGTAAGTACATGTAACATATGTAACAAGGACACCTTAAAATAAAGTGTTTCCAAAAAAAAACTGTATAATAGTAAGTACATGTAACATATGTAACAAGGACACCTTAAAATAAAGTGTTTCCAAAAAAAAACTGTATAATAGTAAGTACATGTAACATATGTAACAAGGACACCTTAAAATAAAGTGTTTCCAAAAAAAAACTGTATAATAGTAAGTACATGTAACATATGTAACAAGGACACCTTAAAATAAAGTGTTACCAAAAAACGGTATAATAGTAAGTACATGTAACATATGTAACAAGGACACAGTAAAATAATTTTGATGAGTTAAAGTAAAGGAAAAGCGTATGTTGATATGACTTACACATCCTATCATTTTCACAGTGTACTAAAGAAAGCAAGAAATGGTTATTAATCTGTTGTGTTTCTGAGTTGGCCTGTGTTTGGCATGATTGCAGCAGCATCCACGATCACACAGACTCGCACTGCTTCCTAAAGCTGCTCCAGGGTCAGCTGAAGGAGACGCTCTTCGACTGGCCCGACCGCAAGCTTCAGGCCGGCATGCTGCAGAAGTCCCAGCAGGTGCTGCTGGAGAACCAGTGTGCCTACATCAACGGTGAGAGATGAGTGAGACACGACGGAGCGGGGATGACTGTGTGATCAGAAGAGTCTGACGATGGGCTCGGTGTGTTTCAGACTCCCTCGGGCTTCATCGAGTGGAGAACGTGAGCCACACGGAGACGGCAGTCTCTCTGCACCTCTACAGCCCGCCCTTCCAGACGTGCCGGACGTTTGACCAGCGCACCGGACACCACAAAAGCGCCAAGATGACCTTCTGGAGCAAGTTCGGCAAGAGGACGCCGTATGTAAGTCATCTTCACGCTCTGCAGTGAAAAATAAATATACTTAAATATGTGACCCCGGACCACAAAAAAGCAGTCATAAGGGTAAATTTTAGATCTGAAAGCTGAATAAATAATCTTTCCATTGATGTATGGTTTGTTAGGATAGGACAATATTTGGCTGAGATACAACTATTTGAAAATCTGGAATCTGAGGGTGCAAAAAAATCTAAATATTGAGAAAATCATCTTTAAAGTTGTCCAAATGAAGTTCTTAGCAATGCATATAACTAATCAAAAATTCCGTTTTGATATATTTACGGTAGGAAATTTACAAAATATCTTCATGGAACATGATCTTTATAACTTAGATCTTAATATCCTAATGATTTTTGGCATAAAAGAGAAATGTATAATTTTGACCCATACAATGTATTGTTGGCTATTGCTACAAATATACCCCAGCGACTTAAGACTGCTTTTGTGCTGCAGGGACACATATATCTTAAATACATATGTGAGCAGTGCTGGCAGAATGAGTGTGAATGCGCACGGTCTAATTCTGAGCTACAGGCAAAAGAAGTGAATTTGAAGTCGAATTTGAGGTTTTCACAAAAATGAGTTCATTAAGCCCTCTTCTAGCGATCCCAATGCTCCAAATAGTAATTAAACATCTAAAATCATCTCTATTTGTACGTTTTCTGAGAGGAGTACTGCTTCTCAAGTTCCAGCTTTGTGAATATTCATATCAAATTGAGTCCAAACCAGTGAAATATGATTTTCAAACCCATGCTGATGAAAACAAAACAATTGCGCTGACTGACATTTGCAAAGCACATGCATACGACGCGCGATCTCCCTATAAAGTACATTATTGTGAAATATGTCTTGCCGATATTCACACAAACATAATCTGTTATGTCTTACAAGAATGTTAGTTAATGGTTGGGTAAAAATCTGATGTGTAACATTATATTAGATCAGTAGGTCTGAAAATAGATCTGTCTCAGTTAGAGGTCAACCGATTAATCGGCATGGATAGTTGATTGGCGGAAATATCGGTTATCGGCAAAAAACCATGCCGATAGTTTTCCGTTGCTGGAGTGGCTGAGACGGGTCCACTGCCATTATACAGTACGAGAGCGACCTCTAGAGGCAGAAATCACTGACAGCAAGTGTTGTTTGTTTTGACACGTGACACTGCGCGCACAGAGCGGGAAACTTCAAACGCGCATTTAAATGCAGCCGACAGAAAATCCTGCCGTGGAACAGAGCGCCATTCACATAGTTTTCCATTAAATTACATTATATTTGTCCCAAATTTTGTACTTAATGCACTTTAATTGTGTGGAAGTAGTGCTGAAGTCCAATTAAAGATATACTTAATTACATTTGATTGTGCTAAAGTGCAACTATTGCAAGTATACTTCAGGTACACTTTAAATATCTTGCATTCAAAGACTGATATTACTCAAAGATTCTCATCAATAGTGATGCAAAACATTTTAGGTTTAATATTAAGAAATGTGCATTGTGCACAAGTACTCAAAATAAAGTTTCATTATAATTTCTACATCAGTAAGTCTAGAGCGGTATGTCAGTAAATATGTTAAAAGATTTGAAGTATACTTAGTATGAATTAAATGTATTTTAAATATATTACTTGTTTACTAGGGCATCCATGTATTTTCATGCAAAGTTTGGAATACTGCATAGAAAAATGCTGGATGGAAATGCCAAGATGTGCATAAAATTATTAAAATTCTCATTAAAAACTTATACACTCAACTGAGGTGGATATTTTTTAACTAAATGGATAAACTACAATTGAAACTCGTCAATAAACTACGATGGAAACTCATGAACAGATCATATAATAACCAGCGACCGATCTCACTGCACAGCATCTCAAACTTTGTTTTAATAGTTCTGAAATACTTGAGCAAAATTGGTCACATTTTATTTTAAGGTCCAGTTCTCGCCATTACCAAACCATTAACTACGACTTTTGTATTAATAAACTCCTAATTTATTAATAGTTAGTTGGTAAGTTTAGGTATTGGGTAGGATTGGGGATGTAGAATATGGTCATGCAGAATATGTGCTTTATAAGTACTAATAAATAGCCAATATGTTAATAATTGGCATGCTAATAAGCAATTGAGAGTTGGTCCCTAAACTAAAGTTTAAAAGATTTTGTATGATTAGCTCCCAGAGCTGTTTCAAAGATCACGTTACCAAACATCAGGCATCTGAATGCAAGAGAACATGTCAGCGTTTGTTACTGTGTTTCGTCTGGAGCAAGTCATTTATTATGTGAGGAAAAAAGAGCCACAACTTTCATTTTTGTTATTGATTCTTTGAGCTAGTTTCCCAGAAAGTGACAATTTTGTTCGATTGAAAACATGGGATGAAAATGTTGCTTATTTACAAATGTTTTCTGCCAAAATATTCATTTTCCACGCAAGTTAAATTTGAAACTCTGGATGGAAACATTTAACACGTGAATGCAAATTAAAGAAATTAACCTCATAACACAGGCATATTATTATAGCAAACTTATACTAAAACCAAAAAAAAAAAAAAATCAGTTACTTGAAATGAAATGGATGTTAATACCTAAACGTATTTTATTTCAGCTAATTAACTTCTAGCTGAAATAAATAACATAATTAAATAAAATAACATAAAATAACATAATTTCTCATTTTCATTTAGTTTAATTTAGGGCTGCAAAACGATTAATTGCGATTAATCGTATTCAAAATAAAAGTTTATGTTTACATACTATATATGTGTGTACTGTGTGTATTTTTTATGTATATATAAATACACACATAAAGGGTTTCACGTGTGTTTGTCAACTCCTTGTGCTACGTGTGATTCCCTGAAAAAAAGAATTAAACTCCTTTGTTTTGTACTATGCCAAGATGTGCATAAAATTATTAAAATTCTCATTAAAAACTTATACACTCAACTGAGGTGGATATTTTTTAACTAAATGGATAAACTACAATTGAAACTCGTCAATAAACTACGATGGAAACTCATGAACAGATCATATAATAACCAGCGACCGATCTCACTGCACAGCATCTCAAACTTTGTTTTAATAGTTCTGAAATACTTGAGCAAAATTGGTCACATTTTATTTTAAGGTCCAGTTCTCGCCATTACCAAACCATTAACTACGACTTTTGTATTAATAAACTCCTAATTTATTAATAGTTAGTTGGTAAGTTTAGGTATTGGGTAGGATTGGGGATGTAGAATATGGTCATGCAGAATATGTGCTTTATAAGTACTAATAAATAGCCAATAAGTTAATAATTGGCATGCTAATAAGCAATTGAGAGTTGGTCCCTAAACTAAAGTTTAAAAGATTTTGTATGATTAGCTCCCAGAGCTGTTTCAAAGATCACGTTACCAAACATCAGGCATCTGAATGCAAGAGAACATGTCAGCGTTTGTTACTGTGTTTCGTCTGGAGCAAGTCATTTATTATGTGAGGAAAAAAGAGCCACAACTTTCATTTTTGTTATTGATTCTTTGAGCTAGTTTCCCAGAAAGTGACAATTTTGTTCGATTGAAAACATGGGATGAAAATGTTGCTTATTTACAAATGTTTTCTGCCAAAATATTCATTTTCCACGCAAGTTAAATTTGAAACTCTGGATGGAAACATTTAACACGTGAATGCAAATTAAAGAAATTAACCTCATAACACAGGCATATTATTATAGCAAACTTATACTAAAACCAAAAAAAAAAAAAAATCAGTTACTTGAAATGAAATGGATGTTAATACCTAAACGTATTTTATTTCAGCTAATTAACTTCTAGCTGAAATAAATAACATAATTAAATAAAATAACATAAAATAACATAATTTCTCATTTTCATTTAGTTTAATTTAGGGCTGCAAAACGATTAATTGCGATTAATCGTATTCAAAATAAAAGTTTATGTTTACATACTATATATGTGTGTACTGTGTGTATTTTTTATGTATATATAAATACACACATAAAGGGTTTCACGTGTGTTTGTCAACTCCTTGTGCTACGTGTGATTCCCTGAAAAAAAGAATTAAACTCCTTTGTTTTGTACTCTTGGTCTCCTCGTTCCTCGCTCCGTGCTCCTCACAGTAGCAACCTGTGACAGAATTCCGGACCCAAACAAAGAGTGAGCGGCGACTTTTCCTCGCGTTTGTTTTTTTCCGCCTTTTGAGAAGTTTTTTGTTTTCCTTGTTTTCCCCGCGGCTATGAAAATTGCCGCTCGGTTCTCCGCCTTAGCTCGCCTAGATCTCCCCTTTGTCGAGTATTCCTGGGAGCTCTGCAGGCCGTCGCTACCTACGGCCCTCGATGACGCCACCATTAATTCTCTGTTCTGGCTCGGGGCCAACTACCATCGCCCCGTGGACCTCCCAGACACCACGGGACTGAGCTGGAGGGAAGGAATCCTCCGGTGTCTGGAGAGCGTCCTGCCCCGAGCCAGAACCAGCCCGCCGTCCGCGGCCTACTCTAGTTCACCGGCCGTTAATATGGCAAGCCCAACGAACATTAATATGGCAAGCCCGCCATGCGTTCATGAGGCCCCAGTGCCTGCTTCTCGTAAGCGCCTTCCAGAGCTCGCTCCAGTGTCGGCTCCAGCCCCAGAGCTCGCTCCAGTGTCTGCTCCAGCCCCAGAGCTCGCGCCAGTGTCGGCTCCAGCCCCAGAGCTCGCTCCAGTGTCTGCTCCAGCCCCAAAACTCACTCCAGTGCTAACTCCTCGAAAGCATTTTGCTGTGCCTGCTCCTCCAGAGCACCCTCCTGTGCCAGCACCACGTAAGCGCTACCCTGATCCCCAGTTCAGCCCAGGAAAGGACTCCTGTTCCCGAGTATAGCCCAGGAAAGGCTCATGATCCCGAGTTAAGCCCAGGAAGGGCTCCTGATCCCCAGTTCAGCCCAGGAAAGGCTCCTGTTCCCGAGTATAGCCCACGGA